TCTGGGTCTGGTGCTGCTGCCAGATTATCGTTCAGCACCTTCTGCATCCTTTGGTGTGTCCTGTGTGGACACCCTCCTCTGAGTGGGCCTGGTCTGTCCTCAGGGGAACACCTCACTGTTATGATGGATGGGCCACTTGAGCTCCATTTCCAGAGCGTCCTTGACCCGAACAGCTGGGCCCCGGGGTAGGGTCCTTGTGACACTTAGATCCCGGCACAGGCTGTACCCGGCGCGGCCTCCGGCTGGCGTGAGAACAGCATGGGTACTGAGCTTCTCCCAGAAGCCCGCGTAGCTCAGACTCAACCGCCCAGACCTGTCCACCCAGCACTGCGGCCGAGGGCCGGTGGGCTGGGGCTGCCGGGGTGGGAGTAGACCAGGAACGGAGCAGACACAGGAAGTGCTGGGACCGCCACCCTGCAGGCACTCCGGGCCCTGCCCCGCAGACAAACCAAGTATTTCACAAGGTCCCTCGGGCCTTGGGGGGCCGCTCTGCTGGTCAGCCACAAGGAGCTGGGCCTGATCTGTGGCTGCCCCTCCTGCAAGCCCCCCTTCTGCACCCCGCCCCCAAGTTCTCTGGTGGGTTGATACGGTCGCTCGCGGTCACCTTCCTCGAAGCGACTAAGGGGAGACGCCCGCTCCCGTCAGCTTCCCTCAGCCCCCACAGCTCCCAAACTCCTTCCCCTTCTACTTGCGGAGGAACTCCTGCGCGTGGCTGGGCCTGGTGAGACTCCAGCCCTGGGCTCCGGGAACCCGTACACACCCACCAGCACCCCCCACTAGGAAGCAGAGTTGGGGTCACACTGTCTTTCATCCCGCGCTATGGATGGACTCCAGCCTGTCACAGGCTTCGCCCTATGGAAAAGTATGGAAAATCCAGACAGGGACAGAAGGAGTAAACGTTCGACTACAGAGCCTGGCCCCCCTCCTGAGAACCCAGAATTCTCAGTTTGACAACTTTCCTTTAGAATGCTATTTGCTAATACCATGAACATGGTTGAGCACGGATATCACGTGTGTTATTTACCCAGACTGAATTTTTAAAGCCTCTCTACAAATGCCTGATGAAATATGAATGGAGCCACGTTTTGCCAAGTCTTACGACTTCGAGTACAGTTTCTTCATTCATTGGGAGTGGATCCAGATGGCTACCTACCATGGTGCCTTCCATATTGCTGGGGCCCAGGGACAACATCTGTGCTCACCTGTAGGGGGCGTGTGTGTGTGTGTGTGTGTGTGTGTGTGTGTGTGTGTGTGTGTGTGTGTGTGTGTGTGTGTTTGAGGGCGTGTGGAAGGAGGCAATCACAGGTGGGAAGGAAGAAGGAAAACATGGCGTGGCTGGTTTTTCCGTCGTTGCTTGGCAGAAGAAATCCCTCTGAACAAACGTCGGGTTGCCGCCTCGAGGTTGTAACGTTTGTAACCCAAACTTGCTCGTTTCAGATCGGCCACATCGACGGAGACCCCAGCCGCAAGGGAGCCTTTCCCGTATCGTTTGTGCACTTTATTGCTGACTAGATTGCTACTGAACAGAAGCAGAAGCCTTCCTTGAACCGTTCCGTTCCGTTCTTGGTACCAAGACTAGCTACACAGCCAGTCTCGCGGATCCAGCCCATCCTCTCCCCGTTCTGTTCCGAAAACTCAAAGGCAGTTTTTATATGTAAGCCGATTCTTTTTATAGGTTGTGTTTTCCACGCCACATTGCCATACTTTTACTAGGAAAAGCAGAATTTCCTAAAAGGGGGAGGGGGGACAACCAAATGCTCTTTTAACTCTAGACCCAGGATCCTGCGTTTTCAGGAGTAGCTGAGCCTAAAAAAAAAATGCTTAAATGAATTTGGGGGATTCTTACCGCTTTCCTTAACCCGGTTCTGACGTCGGTTCACTTTAGCACAGTCATTTTAGCAGGCCAGTACCATGCTGCTCCAGTCTGTGGCCGTACCCTGAACTTTATCCACAAATGCCATCCACCCATTCACCTTGAAAGACATATATTCCTTTGAAAACCCAGCCAGTGTGTCTGTTTAAAGCAACTTGGCAATTTACATGTTAGCCGTGCACTTTTCTAGCCCCAGCCTACGAGGTGGCAGCTGCCATGATCTCCTGCATGTACGTGCGACCCGTTGTTGTGAGCCGTCAGTCATACGTGGCGCGCCGCTGATGGGTTATTACGACACAGCGATTAGCCGTCTGTTCTGCACAGGTGTTCTTAGACTGCACTTCCTGAATTTGGTAGAAAACTAAGGATGATGGATTGCAAAGCAGTCCTTTACACTAGCTCGTCTGGTGTTCTAGGTGTTTTAGGATTTACCTCCTTCAGCATCCCCCCCGCCACGCAGAAAGCAACCGTATACAAGTAGGGCACGTGGTGGTGCAGACCATGGTAAGCAGCACATTCCTCGCCGTGTCCTGGCGTGCGCCACCGCCTTCCCCTCCCAGCTCCCTTGGACACCTGCTTAGCTTCCCGTCTCGTCTCTCATAGGATTCTCCGAAAGGAACGGTAGCTACACTGTCTTGAAATTTAGCCTGTCCAGTTGTTCGTATTCGAGAGCATATCAGAAACCTGTAGATCCGGGGGAGCCCAGTACCCCCCAAACATCCCAGTTACACTATGTAAGGCCATCACGTAACGTTTAAACTTGCAATATGCGGGGTGGGGGAGGGGGACTAGGTTGTATATGATAAAAATCAGAACTCATTAGTTTCATGAACTTGACTGTCATATCTCTATTTGGTAACTGTAAGCATAAACGTCATGTTAGGGATATGGGCGATTCTGGCACTCTCTCGGAGTCAAGAGGCAAGCATGGGTGTGAGCAAAAGGAACAGGCCGAAGTGTGGGCTTGACTTGTTAGGCGGTGACGCCGTCGGGGTGGCACACTTGATTGAGGCGGCGCCGTCCTGACTCCCTTTGTGCAAGGCTCTGACGAGCACGGACCTTCCTGTCTTTGTTTCAAAGAGAGCAGGACAAACTGGAATGTTTTAGGATGCCATACAGTGATGGCCTCCTGTCTTTCAGATTCTGGGTAAAAACATGGTAGATCTGTAATTAAAGTCAGTCTCTCTCTCTCTCTCTCTCTCTCTCTCTCTCTCTCTAACACTACTTGTTCATTTCTAACGTTTGAGCCCTCCTCCTAGTCACTTTTCTCATAGACTTCAGAGCGTGAACAGATGCATTTTGCACATTGCACTTCCCAATACCTCTCTGACAGCAACAACCCCCCCCACACACACACACACACACACACATCTGTATCATCAGTCTTTGGTGACCTGGTGCCAGCTCTCTGAGGAATCAAGTTGATTTATGTCAACATTTTAACTCCGGTTCCAAGCTAACCTGTCGGGTTCGCCGGTACTTAAACGCCTAGGAAACCTTTTTCCACTCTCTGGTGGTGCTATTGGGCGGTAGCGGATAGTGCTTTCTACCCGAAGAGAAATCCTATTGACTTCCCTCCGAATTATCCTTCCTTAGTTATTTGCTCTTTGCAAATAGAGAAGAAAAAGTAACTGAAAGGAAAACACTGTAGATATCTATTTATATTTAAAGTTTACATTTCACAAGTGTCAGCTGTGGAATTCGGGCTTCTTTTTTATTTTATTTTATTTTTTTGCCACTTTCCATCAGGTCTGACTTGGAGGGAAAATGACTCAGAAATATGGTGCACAGATTAGTGTGATCTGTTGAGGGTGGAGCATGACCTGCAGCCGAGAATGCTATTTTGAGATGTATGATATTCAATTCATTCACTTGATTACTCTGGTCTTGTTGCAGTGCAACTGTATATACTGTATAACCTAAACGGATTATTTTCATTGTCCTTAATGCCGTGATTTATAACTAGAGCATGTTTAATAAATTGACTTCCTGTTAACCAGTCATTTGACTGGAAAAAAAATAAAGTACTTTTAAATGGACATGGTTTTCATTTTTTTTTTTTTTTAAGATTTATTTATTTATTGTGTATACAGTGCTCTGCCTACATGCATGCTCACAGGCCAGAGGGCGCCAGATCTCGTTACAGATGGCTGTGAGCCACCATGTGGTTGTTGGGAATTGAACTCAGGACCTGTGGAAGAACAGATAGTGCTCTTAACCACTCAGCCATCTCTCCAGCCCGACCTTGGTTTTCATCTTTAAAGTGCTACTGTCACTCTGCAGAGAGGATCCTTTAAAAGCCACTTGCAAAAGCCAGCAGACGTCCTTCTGAGGGTCTCCCAACTGAGATCAACATGAGTGTGCTGGGAATTGTACAGACAGGGCCTTCTGTTAGGGTGCTGTTCATCTGGACACTGCTGGCATCACTCAGGGTCATGTGGAATTGAGGTTCCCCAGTTCAAACCTATGCCTGTCCCTAACCAGGGACAGCAAGTGACCCCAAGTCCCTGTGAAGGTACAGGGTGCAAGTCTCAATCAGAGCGAACTTCTGTGACACAAGAGTATTAAGCTTGTTTGCACTTTAAAAAGACAACAGAGGTTTCTTTCTTATCTGTAGATTTTATTATGTGTATGCCTGAGTGACTGCATGTACATATGTACACCACATGTATGCCTGGTACCTGAGGAAGCCAGCAGGGGGAGCCGGCTCTCCTGGAACCGGAGTTACAGGCCGTTTTGAGCTACCATGTGGGTGCTTGGAATTGAACTCAAGTGCTCCTAACTCCTAAGCCGTCTGTCCGGCCCCAAGGTTTCTTTTTAGCTCAGAAAGTAGGTAATCTATTGGAAGTTAACCTACTGTTAACAACGCCTTTTAATGATGACTGATATTTTACACATTACATTTTCTTTAGAAAACTGGGTCAGGACATTACACCCTCCCAATAGTTCACCGCTGCCTATGGGAAGCTGAAAGATGGAGGACCAGGTGAGCTCTCAGGGTCAGCTTCCACTTGACTGCAGAGTTCAGGACTTGTCGGACGTCAACACAGAGTCAAATGCTGTGGATAAAACCTTGCAGATTGCTTGGGCTTGCTCCTGCATTGTACGAAAGAGATACATTGTTGCACATATGACCAAAACACGTAGTACAGGATGCTCAAAAGAAACTAATAGACAAAAAGATAGAACAGAGTTGATACATCTCTCCGGGAAACTTTATCCACCACCTCACATTGCTTCCCTCCGAATCTCCACATCCGCACCTGCCCCGCCTTAAGCTCTCCTGAGACGGGCAGACAGTAATGGCTGCTGCTAAGCCCTGAACCTGGGAAGATGGCAGCTCGGGAGTGGAGGGAGCTGTGACCCGGCCCAGGGCAGTGTTGCTCGGCAGGAGCAGTTTTCAGCCTGTCGGGGTGGGTGTTCCTTCTGAAGACCGGCACCGGGGAGAACATTTCCTCAGCCTCGGACAGCTGCGGGAGAGTCAGCCACCCTTTGACCTGCTGAACAGGAACCCACGGAGCTAACTCACCAGGCTGTTACACTGGTAAACCCACAGGCTGTACTCTTCATTGCTTGCATCTGTGGTCTTGAGGGCCAGCAAGCTCTTCCCGGCTCCCAGGCCGTCGTCATAGCACACCATCCGGATGATTAAATACAGGGCATGCCTGTGCAGAACGCCCTGCGGGAAATCGCAAGACCTTCTTCAGGAAGCTGGGACATGGCTACCAGGGTTTCTCCGTTCTCGGGAAACACGCTCCCCACACAGAACACATTAGGAGGCTTGAAAGGGCAGGACCGTGGGTCTGGGGGAAAGAATACACAGTTTCCCAGCCCAAGGGACACCAGTATGCCTAATTAACACTCTCCTGTTTAAACCCAGAGACCCAGGAGCAAGGTCATCTCAGCTGTCCTCATCTCTGCCGTCCTCCACGCCAGCCAACAGCTACATTCAAACATGGGGTCCCTGCATGAAACACACTGGGGACCACACACACGCAAAATACAAATGAAGCCCCTGTTCACCCTAAGGAGTGGGCAGACACAGGAGACCCAAGTCCGAGTGTACCCTTAAAGGCTGGGGTCCCCATTTCCCAGCATGTACTTCTCGAGCGCAGCACTTACATGCTGATCTGTGGTTGAGACTTTTATGCCGTACTTGGAAACACCCAGAATAAACTCCTCCTCCAGCGGAACAAAAGGCAGCTTTCCATCTTGCTTTAAAGGGGAATAAATCATATCACAGGCATTAAAATGACACAATCATCTTAAGTTTGATTAGTTGCTTCTGGTATCTGGCTATATCAAAGCTTCCAACCCTTTAGAGTTCAGTCTATACAAATATTTCCCCCAAATTCAGACCCCATCCACTCCCTGTGTGCCGTTCTGTCCTTTTGTGGTGTAAACCCTAATGGCAAATGGAGATCCTAGCCACAGATCTTAGTGACATTAAAATATTTACACTATTAAGCCAGGAGTGTCACAAGCTTTTAGTCCCAGCACTCAGGAGCACAGGCAGAAGGATCTCGTGAGTTCGAGGCCAGCCTGGTCTATAGTTCCAGGACTATGTACCTGTCTCAAAATAAGCAAAACAAAATTTACACCGTTTAGGTTTACAGATCCTCAAAGCTCATCTCATGTCAGGACAGGGAGTGATCAGGGAGCAGGCAACATCTTTTTCACAGTCGATTTCTGTCTGACTGCTGAGATCCATCTTGGTAGCTACAGACACCAGGGCTCGGGATGACAGGCTGTTGATGAGTTAGCCATCCATCAGCAGTCTGAGCCGTCCACAAACAGAACAGGGGGATAACTAACTGATCATACCCCCACACCCTGCAAATCAGCCCGCCTCATCTACCTAAGAATGCTGCCCAATTTGTCTTCTCTCAAGAAAGATATTGCGGGCAGGTAATGGGTGCTCTGCATTGTGAATGTTTTTGTGGAAATGATGAATTACAGTAATGGAGCCATGGCCAGATGCTTCAGTTCTTGGCCTTCCCAGCATTAGTAACACCCTGCCAATCACTTCTCACATACCTAAGACTCAAAACAATGCCGCTGTCAATAATGGCATTTTATCAAACAAAAGCTCTGTGGTGGATGAGTAATTCAGCCATTCCTACAGGGTGAAGGGAGTGCTAATATAATAATGTCTTTCCGTATAACACTTTGTCACTTATACTTTGTTTGAATGACCATATTTGTCGCTTATACTTTGAGTGCTTATACTTTTAGCCATATTCCAAGCTAAATTTGGGGATAACTAACGATCTCTACCAAAAGTTCTGCCCAACTGCAAATTAGATTCACTAATTTTCCTTTTAAGTAACTTCCTTTATGGCCATAAAGATAGGAGTCATATCTAATACTCCCAGTCTCCACGACTTAAGAGGCTTTAGGTTCTCTCTACGTTGTTCTGGCTGTTCTGGAGCTCTTGCTATATAAACCATGATGGCCCTGAACTCACAGAGATCCACCTGTCTCTGCCTCCTGAAGTGTAAAGGTAAATGTATAGATCTTATAATTTTATTTTATAAACAGTATGGCATTATTTTAATTTTTCTCCATATAGATTTTTGTAAGATACATATTTTTTTTAGTGTATATGGGTGTTTTGCCTGCATGTATGTATGTGTGCCATGAGCATGCAGCACCTGAGGAAGCCGGAAGAGAGCGCTGGTCCTCTGGAGCTGCAGCTACAGGTGGCTGGCTGTGAGCTCCATCTGGGTCCTGGAACAGAACCTGGGTCCTCTGCAGGAGCAGCCATTGCTCGTAACCACCAAGCTACATCTCCAGCCCTACAATGACTTTTTTTTAATTGACCTGACCTGACCTGAGTATATTTTTGAAACCCCCTCACCTTAATTCTTGTTGAAATTGGAATATTAAAAAAGAAGATACAGGCCGGGTGTGGTGATGCACACCTTTAATCCCAGCACTTAGGAGGCACAGGCAGGTGGATCTCTTGAGCTCAAGGCCAGCTTCAACTAGAGTTCCATGACAGCCAGGGCTACACAGAGAAACCCTGTCTGGATAAAAAACAAACAACAACAAAAGGTATTTTTGATCCATGTCATGAGTTTTTAAATCCCTGAAACCCGTTCAGTAGAGTAAAGGCTCTGGCAGATTGTTTCAGAAGAATCTATGATCTAAGCAGTGAACGCCGTCAGTTCTTCAGTAAACCTGGAGACCAGTCAAATCCACAAAGTAAAAAGTTCTGTGCCTGGAGAAAGAAACTTTTCTCCTATGAGGCTCCATCTCCAGGCGCCTTACACAGTCTATGACTCAAAGCTGCCCCAGGATGAGATTTGCCTCAGCCAAAGATGGCGAGCACCCTGCAGTGGACCCGAGGGGAACATTTTCCTTCAGGGCTGGACATTCAGCACCATCACAGCCAGAGGTTTCAGCTGGAACCAGGTTTTGCTCTGCCACTCACCTGGGCGACATCTATATAATTTATCAGGTCCAGTGGTCCTTGGAGACTCTTCCCCTGAGACAGGTCCAGTTTCTCGATGGCACCAACATACTTTATTCGAAACTCGGCACACGTGTCTAAACTGTTGCTCTGTCCTAAGATTACAACAGACTTGAAGGGCAGTGTCTTCTTCACAGAACATTTTCTCTCTCTAAAAGATTTATTTTTATTTTACATGTACAGGTGTTTTCCCTGCATCTGTACAGATGTAATGCAATGCCTGAGAAGGCCAGGAAACGGGGATGGATCCCCTGGACTTGGGGTTGCACACAGTTAGTTGTAAGCTGCTGTGTGGGTGCTGGGAACCGAACCAGGACATCCCTCTGCAAGAGCAGCCAGTGCTCTTAACCTTTCAGCCACCCCCAGTCCATTCCATTTTGAAATCCTCTCACCCTGTTCACCAGGATGGCTTAGAAGCCCAGAGCTGCCTGTCCCAGCCTCTCAGAGTGCTGGGATTAAAGGCACACTCCTCGTTAGCTTTTTATTTTATCCTTTACTGGTTTTCGAGGCAAGGTCTTCCCATCTAGCTCTGGCTAGCCTGGAACTTACAATATAGCCCAAGCT